CACACACACACACACACACACACACACACACACACACACACACTCACTCACACTCACACAGAAAGAGAGAGACAGACACACACTGACACATGCACAGCAGAAAAGTTGCTCGCAAGCCCTACCTGAGGATGGCCGTGTCCCCCTGCCTCACGGTAATGTTGTCCGTGCCTCGGTTAAAATCCACGCTGCGAACTGGCAGTCCTGTGGGAAGAAGGCAGAGCAGTCTCAGTAGGACCAGCGGCAACTGTTTCCGATCGGGCTGAACTCTCCCGACCATGGTGGCCTCAGCGAGTTGCTCCGCGGTGGACTCGCGTGTGCGCGCTGCTGGCCACGGAGAGGGGCTCTAGCGCGCCTGGGGCTAGCAGCCACTGCCAAGGCTGCTCGGGCGGGTCCAGCGCGCACTCCCTTCCACTTTGCCTGGCTCTTTCCCTTGCTCAGTCTGTTTCCCCTCTGAGACTTGACAAAGCCCTCATCAAATCCAAGCAGGGGTGGGGGAGAAAGTGGAGGAACAAATTTTCCGAAGGAAGAGTGCAAATATGAAATGCTTAATGATGAGGAGGCGACTGTCAACGGCAGGGGTGCTTCGTTAGACTCTCTGTGGCTGGCTGCTTCTCTGCCAGCGTCTGGGCTGAGCTCCTTCCCTCTGTAACCCACTTTCCCAGGCAGCAGGAGAGCCTGCCAGGAAGAGTAAAGAAACAGCCTCTCGCAGCAGCGGCAGCAGCAACCCAGGAGCTCTCTCTCCCCCTCCTCCCTTTCTTGCTTCTCCCTCCAGTCCCTGGCGTGTTCTCTCTACTCAGCACCTCCCCCCGTACCCTGCTGGTTTTCAACAGCCCCACCACGTCATCCGCTCCTCCCTCCCCTCAGCGTGGCCCCTCGCTTTGCACAACTGCCCCCTTCAACAGCAGCCAGACTCAATGAAAGCCTGATGCGCCTTTGGGTTGTCAGGACAACAGCTCCATCTGAGGCCTGGCTGATTTCCTTAAGAAGAGGGGATGGGGCTCAGAGGTACTGTTCAAGACAGGGAAGAGGAGGTGGACTTAAGCTGTGAAAGGGCAGGAGAAAGGGTCCAGGAAAGAAGAGGGAAGGCACGGCAGGCAAGTAATGCAGTTCTTGACAAATGGAGCTGCGTACATGTGGATGGGAAGGCAAACTGCAGAATGGACCAGAAAGATGAGAAACAGAGAAGGAACTGGCCCGACTGAGTCTCAGATGGAAAGCCAAAGTTGATTTCATAGTCCTGGCAAATGGCTTTCCAAACTCACATGCTATTCACCCTTTTCCCTCTCTTGAAGAACTTAAAAGGTTTATTTTGTCTTTCCCCCCTTCATTCCCTCCCCCTCTTGGAACCCCCTTATGAAAGATGGACTGGAGACAATGCTGGTATTGAGTGGTCTAGGGTGTGAATGCTTGGCTTGTCTTTTCCAAGTGCCAGCCTCAGCAGCTGATCCTTGATCCCCAAATTAACCTCACTCTCCAGGAAACCCACAGGCAGACACATGAGTGATGGGATTTGGGATTATGGTTAAAATGGTACATTGCAGCTAATGCACCCTTTTCTAATACCACTTGCTTTTCAAAATGTTCTTACACAAGGAAGTAGATCAGAAAGTTTGTCAGTCATTTACAAGGAGTCCTAAGTCTATAGACAGCACTCTAGTGAAACCAGACACCAAACAGGTGTAGATAATCATTTGTTATTCTGACCCTGGAAGCCAACCAAGTGGTTAGCTGGATAAGGGGTAACACTTTATTCACAGGTTAGTGAGAGTTTCAATGCCAGACAGCTCCCTCAGCCCTGCTGATGGACATGGGATCAGCTGAAGACTTCTTCTCTGTCCTTAATATCTAACATTTATCTAAATCTCTTTCTTTCTTTTGCTCTCTCTCTTTTTCTGTAATCCAAGCGTCACACAGTAAAACAAACAGACAAAAAAATAACCAATGTTATAAAATACTACAGAACAAAAAGTAGTCAGTTCCCTACTGTTGACCTTACAAGATTCACTCCTCTAACCAAGAGACAACAAATACTTTCAGGTTCCAGGATGTACAAGAAGGCCAGACAATTATCAAAGGAGGTGGGAGGAGAATAAGTATTTAGACTCTTCCAGGGTTTGAGCAAGCAAATCATCCTCAGACCCCCAGAATAATCACTCTTGGCCTCCTTTTGGCTTCTTGGCACCAGCAAAGCTTTTGAATTTCAACTGCTTCCTCTGTGATAGCAAGAAAATTTTACAGGAGCAATTGGAAAGCCCCAACAAAAAGAACTCTGAGTCATCACTGTGATTCTCCCACATCTGTCTGAGGAAGCCCCAGATGGGGAGTTTCCATTTGTTCTGTATCCATTCTGGACCATATTCTGGTGATAAATATCTTAAACACACACATGCAAATACATATAAAAGCCTTTTATTTACATTGTGTCTTAATTAAGATTTCTACTGTTGTGAAAAAAAAAATATTATTGCCAAAAGCCAATTGGGAGGAAGGGTTTACTTGGCTTACACTTCCACACCACAGACTACTATCAAAGGAAGCCAGAGCGGGAAATGAAGGCAGGAGTCTGAAGGCAGGAATAGAAGCTTCTCTCTCTTGTCTTTCTCAGCCTGTACCAGTATACAACCCAGGATCCTCTTGCCCAGGGTTGGTACTGCTCACAGTGTTCTGGAACCATCTATAAATAATCATTAAAACAGAAAATGCCCCACAGAGTTGCCTATAAGGACACATTTTGTGGAGCCATTTTCTAAGTTCAGAATCCCTCTTGTCATAAACGTCTGAGGTTCTATGTATGAAGCTGAGTAAACCAACCAGGACCTATGGTGAGCTACAGACATTTGCAACAACAACAAAATAGTAAACTTTCACAGGGCTGGCATTTGCCTTGACCTGTAAAAAAATCCTGTATTCAAGGATTATTCGGGCAGCATTTTATCAGCTTAAAGGTAAATGAACACTCACAAATTATGTCAGAAAATTAAGACTTTTTTTTGTCTTTGAAGAAAACACATTAAATTATTGGGATCAGAATTGTCCCGCTTCAAGGTTTGTAATGTCGATTACTTTTATTTGCACTGTGAATCCATTTCACATAAATCAAGATGTCCTCTGTTGGTGGTGATGAATACTCTAAGATGCCTGGAATATCCATGGACGGCTTGTGACTTAGCTGTTGAAAGTTTGAGCTCATTTTCATCAGTGAAGAAATGGTTAGATAAAGTGGTTAGTTGATTCATAAGTTCTGTAATTCTCAATGTTAATGGGAAAAAAATGAGTTTAGCATGCTAAGAGGAATGATGTCAAGACTTCAGGGAGAAGAGCACCCTGTCTTCCCATACATCGCCAACAGTCTGGACCGTCCCGGCCAAAGACCTTATTTGAAATAAAAGATTTGCTTACACAGAGTACAATGTACAATGTTCCTCTAATGGCAGAAGAAGAAAAAAGAAAGATGTAATGGACAGAGACCATCAGGTTGCCTTAATTCGACTGACCATGATAGATAAGTGGTACGGCCCTCTGGGGACCCAGTGTGTTCCCGCATGCTCTGGGAAGAAGGATTAGTTTTATCAAGAATGCACAACTGACAGTACCTGCTGTCAGTGTACAGAAATTTGTCTGGTGAAGGGTATAATTTTTGGGGGGACAAAGAGAAAGATGATACAGTAGTAGTATATTATTTGTGACAGATGCCAATATATGACGGTTTACTAATTCCTAAACCAACAATTTTTAGTTACTAGCAAGGGGTGACCACCTAGGAGGTATTCGGGGCAACTGGAATGTTTGACATCAATGCACAATATAATTCACACAAGTAGGAGCAGGAATGTAGAATTTGTAGTTATTAGAAAAAAAATGAAAGCAAAAAGCAATTAAGTGTTTTGTTTTGTTTTGTTTTTTGTTCTTTTAATCTTCTTGGGGCAACTTTGGTTTAACCTAATTGACTTGCTATGAGCAAATAAAGTGAAACACAGTATTTAAAGTGAGGTCACAGTTTTGAAGATCTCTAATGTAGAATGTTCAGCAATCCAGTCTAATTCAACAAGAATTTTATTATGTAAGTCAATACTTCAGTGGAATTCACATTCGGACTGAACTTCAGGGACTTCTTTCTCCCAACACCTGGCCCGGAAAGAGAGTTTTACGATTGTTGAATATCAGAATAGAGGGATGGCTGACTTTCCCATCCTATCCATAGGGTAAATGTCAGCATTCGCAAAGTAATCTATCCAGCAACTTCCCCTGGCACAGTGTAGTCACTCAGACCATCCTTCCTTCACTCCCTCTTTGAGGCCTGATTTTCCTTCTTTTATAATCTCCTGCTTTCTGATACATTCTGAGCATAACACCGGATAATAATATATCTCACCCTCAGGGTCATTCCCCTCCAAACAACCTCACTATAAACTCCTCCCCTACTTTCTTTCCTTAGAAATTTCAAGAGAGAAGCACATAGATGACTTTCTGAAGGGTCTACAGCCTATTTTCCCAGAATCACTGTGTATATTCTTCTAAGCAGCTTGGCAAAAATGAATATACTTGGGTTATTTGTGAGGCGAGTATGGCTGTTTGCCATGTGAAACAGCCATCTTCACCCAAGTAAGACGATCTTAACTACTACTTTAAAATAACATACTGCCTTTCCAAAAGAGGCTTTAGAAGGTTCCAGCACTCTCCAGGGACAAACGCTGCAAGAAGAACAAAAACTGGCTCACATCTGAGCACCCAAAGAAGCATGAAGTGTTTATTCTTCTGTTCAGCTTTGTAAGGTAACAGGCTCACACAAAATCCAGATGCAGCCTGAAATGCACAACTAATTATTTGGCTACATTGCTTGCATTTTATGCTAAACCTGTCAATAGCATTATTAATGAACTGCTCTACATATCTACGGTTGTAAGGTCTTAATCATAGTGAGACCGTGTCTATACTCTACTTTCATAAGTAGAATTAGCATTTCCGTCCTAGCTAAAAAACCAGAATTGTTAAAACTTTTCCTTAGGATCCCTGCTATCACGTTCTGGTTGATTTCATTATAAGCAAGCGATGATCGCATACTTTAGTTTATGCTTATTAAGAGTATGGCATTACCTTATGACTTGTCATTGGAATCTGGTACCTTTAAATTCAACTTTATTCATATGTGCCTTCCTGTCTCAAAAATAAAAACCAGTCAGCCTCAAGTCAGCTAAAAAAAAAAAAAAAAGTTCATTTTCTCTCTCATAGCCCTCCAGTAATGTAAAACCCCTAACCCAAATTGTGCACCACAAAAATCAGTCTAAGGATTGCTTTCAGTGCATGCCATAGTTCATTGTTATCAAATCAGTCCCCTGCTTCTAACAATGTGGATTTTGTTCACTTGTTCTATTTTTATAGGCACCAGTGCTTGGATGTGTCCCAGTTTTCACAAGGTCTAGGTCTTAGAAATTGTTCAGCTGCTACCCGCATTGTCGCATTACATCTCTGCTCTTGGTTACTCACAAGCATACCTGCACTCACAGTTGCCGCCACACTGGAACACCAGTGTTCACCACACATCTTGTTAGTTCACAGAATAGTCCACGTTAGCCTTGGGCTCACCCCACCCTTTTTTCCCCTAGACTTTAAGCTCTGCCACCATGGCCACCATCCACAAGGAGGTAACAATGTCCAAGTAATGCTGTACCTATATTGCTTCTGCTCTATCGAGATACCTTGTACATAATGGGAAGAACATTGCAGCACCTTGGAAGGTGCAGTGAACAGTCCCTACAGAATAGCAAGATGTT